ACCACAAGAGCAGCAGAACGGGACCCATTTGTACTCACCATCAAATTGGTATTAACTAATCAACACATAAATGCACATATCAGAACAACGTGATTATTAATAGTAAAAGGCCCATCGTGCAGAGCCCTTGGCAGCCGTTTTATCCTGACAAGTCAAGGAGTTCTTTATAACAGTTTATTAAACCATTAAGACAATCCCATGTGCACGTAGGTGGCTTGGCAGCAAGAACGCTGTCGCCGCTCTCTGAAGCTGGCCAGCTCCCGGGAGAAACGATGCCAGGTTGGTGGGAGGTGGCCGAGTGGGAGAAGGAAAGATTTTAAGGGGTACCGCCAACTGCTTGTTTTAAGATTTAAAAGGGAACACACCCCATACACACCTCGCATAATTATCCCTTCCCTTTCTAAGCTCTGTATTCCATCAGATGTCACCAAGATGACACCGGGTGCAACGCCGCTTCCCTATAGAGTTTAGCAGCCAGAGCAGTCCTGGAGGCGATCCAGGGAGACAGGCTGATAAAATAATCCGTCAAGGCCCTTCTGTCTGCATCCTGATAAGGGCCTGGGAGGGGCCCTCCATCCCCTGTCCCGCTAAGGCCCCTAGGGGAGGTACCATACCTGCTGAGCGTATCTGTAGAAAATGCTTTGCTGGGAGCGAGTCTCTGAAAGACTTTCCTAGATCAAAGGGAAAACAGCCAACATGAAACTTCTGGGGAAGGAAGCCACCTGTCTGGTACAGCGAGGGCGCAATAACCCCCGCCTAGATCTGAGATAGAGATTTCACTGGGAAGTTGGACAAAACCTTTAGAGGAATAAAAAAACCTGAAGTTTGTGGAAGGAGGATGGTTGGGGTGAGCCTGGTCTTGAAGGCTGGTCTCCTCCCTCTCCCCCACCCCTCTAAGCCATCGTTGGCCCTTCGGATGTCTCTGTCTTCATTGGTCAGAGGACAGGTAAGGAAGGAGACAGAGCTCTCCAGGATGGGATGTGGCCCATGAAGCTACCCAGCCAAGCCTTACTACATACCTACCTTCGGTGCTCTGAGGCTGAAATTGCTTCTCAGGCTCCTGGAAAATCAAGGGCACAGTGTGACAAGGACAACCTGCGCACCACTCAAAGGGGCCTGCATGTGGAGGGCACTCAGATGGCACTGGACACTGCCAAGGGCCTGAGTGGGGAGCCCTTAGCACTGCAGGACATGAGGTGGGCAGCCAGACAGTCGGCAGACATGGCCACGTGCCCAGCCTTTTGGGTGGATGCGGAACAATCTAGTAGATGTTCCTTTTGCAATCAGATACACACATGCCACGACCCCCATTGCCGGGATGGCAGATAAGCTGTGTCTTATGTTCCACCTCGAACTGGTGGTTTGATGGCTGCCTGGCATGCTGGACTGAGAAGGCCCCCCCACCCCCGCTCAACTGCAAAGACCATCCTGATGATAGCGATGTCTGCCTTGGGCCCAAGAGGGGACGAGGGGCCAAGTGGGTGAGTATTTGTTGATCCCAGTCTTGACCCATTGACTTGGATGCAAGACCGTCCACGCTGGACTCTGTCGTTCAGGCCAGTCTTTCACTGTCTCCCTGCTATACCCCGCATTCTGGCCACATTTCAGACAATGTGACAGGCTTGCCAGATGCCACCTTCCTGTACAGATGCTGACACCACCTACTCTGCAACCAGCCCTGCGCTCACCCACTTCCCTGCTGCTACTCACACTTTTTTCTTCCGCCTGCACAGAACCATTAAGGGACCAGCTCCGGTGCTGTTTCCTCTGAGACACCTTCCTTAGTCCCTCTTGCCAAAAGTGGTCCCTCCACTCAGCCCTCCCACGTGACTTTGCATTTCCACCTCACAAGGGCCTTGGGCTGTGTGTGGTCTGGTTCTTGGTGAGCTGCTGGAGAGCAGGGCCCGTGTTCTGTCCCCCACTAACATAGCACATGCTGCGTAGACAGACCACTGCACGTGATGACACCATGCATTTTTATAAAATTCAGTAGAATAAAACATTTAGAATCCCAGAGGTTCTGTACCTGTCATTGTCTGGCGTTTTCAGGAAGATTCGGAGCAAGAACTCAGCTGCATCTCTCTGTGTTTTAGGGACCACGACATAGGTACCGGGGCTCAGGTGGAAGGATGTTGTGAAGTTGTGCTTGGTTTGATAATTTATACCCTGGACAGCATTTCTGAATGGGGAATAAAACGTGGGCGGCAGACTCTCCTGGAACTGCTGGAACTAGAAGAAACATGATGATTGTGAGAACGTCCCCTCCATGCATGGGCCCCAGCCACCAGGAGAGACCTGCTACCCTCCAGACCCTCTCTGTTCACCAAAACAGCATGGCAGGCCCTGAAGAAGGAGACAGTGCTTACCTGAACTCTCACAAAGCTGTAGGGTTTAGACTGTTGTTTTGTCTAGACCCTGACCCTACAGTGAATGCAAAGAGATATGATGCACAGTTTTATCTCATTAAGTCTAAGAACACCCTGGGTTTCTGGGTTTTCTCTCTCTGCTTATGTAGAGAGAAGACTTCCTTGGAAACTGGTGACATTGTTTCAACACTGATTTTCTTCTGGGGTCCCTAAAGCCCCTTCTCTCCTGAACCTTTAGTGAAATACTCTGCCTGCTATAGTATCACAGAATCGAATGCTATTCATTTCCTCTGTCATATCTTCCCAGTAGAGCCCCAAGATTTCTTCTCACTGGAGAATAATGGGCCCTGATCATTTTCCTTTTATTTCAATATTTTCTTAGAGATAAAACAATAAATATAATGCAGTTCCTATTACCAGATGTCACATACATATTACATAATAAAAACCCCTTGCTAAACAAATTTTCCCCACTACAGTCAAGCAAAGGGATTCCATTTAGAATGGTTACGGAGCAGGAAATGGTTATTTATGAGCCCTGCCTGGGGGAAAAAGCAGGGGAAAGGGGCGAGTTTCTTTTCAGGGTGTAGGGGCAGGCTGGGCTCCAAAGTGAGATGGGAGACAGGCCACTGCCCCAGGTGTATGGCAGGGGCTCAGTGGAGTCTCCAAAGCAATTCTGCTGACATTAACAGCAGCCCCAGTGGGTTTGGAAGCCTGACTTGCTTGGGCCCTTCTGGACAAAGCAGTGACGGAATCAGTTCTTCTCCAGAGGGTCAGCAATGCCCTGTGGCTATTGGTGTGTGTGCATGCACGCGTGTGCACACGGGGAAGCAGTGTGCGTGCAGAGGCGTGTGGGTGGCCTGCCTCCTGCAATCCGGAAGGTAAGGACCTCCCTGCTTACCCACTCTCCTGCCCTCCTCCCTTTGCAGGCCCCTTGCACCCTGTCCAGGCTGCTGATCCTGCAGAACAGACCCGCTCAGTGGCAGCGAGAAGTGTGAGTATCGGGGCGTGAGGGGAGGTCTTGGTCCAGTGCTCGCAGGACCCAGCATCACATCAACACAGGGCTAGTCATGCCCAGGCCTGACTCTGCAGTTCTTGAGATGGGACTTGTGCCTTTTCCTGGATTAAGTCTCACCCTGCTCTCTGGTTCTGAGGGTGGAAATGCTGACCAGTTCCTTGCACCTGAATATTTCACTAGTAGCCCTTCCAAACATTCCAATTCCATGGCTTGGGTGCTAGGAGCTAGAGTCAGATCCTACCCCCAGCTCTGTGGCTGGGCTGCTGCTGTCACAGACAGGTGTCCTTGCTCTTAGCTTTCTGCCTGGACTTTTGAGTAGCTCCTTTTCTGAGACTCCCTGCCCTGGCCTCTGTCAACCTGTTGGGACTTCTCTGAAGGCCTGGAGGTGCTCCAGTCACCATCTGTTGGGTGTGGCTGCATCCTGCTCCCCACTTCCATCTGCAGTCCTGAAGGAAGATGTGCCTGCCTGTTGGCAGCTCAGAGCCCCCAACCATGGGAGGGGTCTGAGTGCCCGTGAGGATTGGTATTCCAAACGCCATCTGTCCTCAGCCTTCCTCATCATCGTAAGTCACCTTTCATGAATACTGAGCCAGATTATCTGTTTGGGGGGGTGGCAATTTGCTTACAAGAGGAGCTCAAGGATGTGCCTTGAAGCTGCATTTGGAGAGCATGCACCCTATCTGTGGTGGATTTGGGGGCTAATTCAGGAGACTTAAGATCCTTCCAAGGTACCCCTTAGTGCTACTCTCATCTTAAATGGCGAGGAACTGGCTGCATCAATCTTATCTCTGTCAAGGGCCACATGCTCAAAGATGTTTCACTTGAACATTAATCAAGAGAATGGCCTAAAGGGTCCAACCTTCAGACCAGGACAGCTAAACGTTTTCCTGCTTTGTTGACCTGTTTGGAGATTCTAAGCTTGTGTCTGATATAAGACATAGCAAGACAGAATTTGTAGCCATGAACACATGAAGGCCATGGGCGTTGGAACAGGTGTAGCACTTCAGCACTGGGCAGCAGCGAAGGCGTGGGAAGCCCAGTGAGGGCGATTGGGAGTCAGACCTGGGAGTTGCCTTGTGGGGAAGAGGAAAGGCAGGTTCAGGAACCGGAACCCAACAAAAACACAAGCAGACCTGAGTAGCCTGCTCAGCCCTGTGCTCCTTCCCGCATGGCCAGACTGTTTCCTGGCACACCTGGGGGTGAACCAGAACGATTACTCGCTCCCTGTGCGGGTTGTAAAAGAGGTAACCTACTCAGTCGAAGAGAGCAGCAAGAGGAAGGACACCGAGGAGGGCAAGAAGGTGTCTGAGAGGTGGAAGCATTCCCTTCGCCAGCTTGGCAAGGTGTGGTTACTATTCACAGCACTGACAATGACATGGAAGGAAGAGGGAGATACTGACAGGGCCTCAGATGAGATAGAACCTGAGCAAGTATAGATTCCCCAACATCGGGTGCTTCTGTGAGAAGCCGATTTCTTTTATTCCATCAGATACAATAAAATAGGACGGGAATTTGTTCTAGGACTCCACCCCGCATGCTTGTAGGAATGCCTGTATGCACATGATGGGGAAATACCCAAGTTCTAGTCCTTCCATGCAGCGGAAGGAAGCTCTGAGGATGCAGGTCCATTTTTAAGCCACTCTACAGTTCGCAAAGCACTTCTATGCGATGTGTTGGATATTCACAATAATCTTGCAGGCAACACTAGGCTCCCTATTATTTGGATGTGGAAACTGAGGCTCAGCAGTTTAAGTAGCAGAGTTGAGGACTGAGCAAGCTGTGTTGCTTCCTTTGTAATCAACCCCCACTCCCCCACCAGGCAATGTCCTCCCCAGTGGGTGTGGGTTTTGCTTCCCTTCCACTGTTGAGCCTGGGCCCCACCCATGTGTACAGACCTCTTTTTTGCCCAGGCAGACTTCTCTGGAGGACAAGGGTGAGCTGGGAGGGAGGTGGAAAATCTTGGCCAGCAGGAGGAGCTTTGGGGGTGAGAATGAAATGGCACATCCATCCTGTCCTTCCCACTGTCCTGTCCTCTCACTGCCTGTTCATATACCACCAGTGTTTGGTGTGATGTACGGCAGAGCAGTGTGCCCATGGCAAGTAGGGAGTCACGGGCCCATGGCAGGGCTGGACCATGATATCAGCTGTGTCAGCACCGCAGCCACAAACACCATTAGAGCCCAGAGACTTCCGAGAGCCAGGCTGCTGGCACGTACCTAGCCTGTTTCTCAGCTGAACTGTGAAAGGAACCCAAGTGTCTTTTGAGATGTCAAACTCTGGACTATTCTTTGGTGTTTAACTCAATTAGGATCGTGCAAGATCCCCTGGGATCTTCAAGGAGCTGAGGAGACCTTGGATCTAAGTGCTCCTTCAGCAAAGTGGGAAATGGTGAGAAATGATGCATCTCTGGCTGAGCAGTAAAGAAGCGGGCTTGGTATCATGTTAAAAATGGTACAGTTACAATCTTGGCGGGGTTCCTGAACTGTAAGACTTTGGACACATCAACAAAACTATGTTGCTCACAGTGTGAATGGCAGCCCCAGGTATCATGTCCTGGGGAGGTTCTGAGAGCCTCTCTGGGCTCCTGCCTTGCATCAGGAAAAGGAAGCATGGGCTGAGATATTTTTAGTAGGCCTGTTTGGTGCTTGACCTATCCAGCACTGGCTGGGCAGACCAGGTGCCTCAGCTCCTTCTCAGCCTTTCTCAAATCCTTCCCCTGGCTCCAGCCTCCTCTTCTTCCCAGAGGTGAGGTCTCTGAGGACGATAGTCCTTTTAGAAGGCACCTGAATCAGCAGGGATTCCTAGCTGAAAGCCATGGAAACTATCCCAGGCTAGGGTGGGCTGAAAGGCATTTTTTGGAAGGAGAGCTCACAGTGTCGATGGGGTGTCTAGAAAACGCAGCTTGGAAGGTGGGCAGGAGCTGGACAAGATGGCTACCCAGCCGGCCACCAGCATAGGGACTGCCCTGCACTGCTACTGCTGGGCTCGAAGGTTTGCTGCAAATCATCCTTGGCTCTTCCCACCTGTTTTAGTTATCTGCTCAAGGGTCAAATCTCCGAGTGACTGAGAGTATGTGTTGGGGGGCAGGAGATGAGGCACCTAATTGGGCAAACCTGGGTCTACACCTTTTGCATCCAAGGGCTGGGGGGAGGAAATATTTAGTGGGAAGCTGGGCCCTGCCTCCCACCAAGATTCACCCACAGCAAAAAGTGTGCCAGGTGGTGATAAAAATGACAACTGTCCACTACAGCATCCTTAAGAAATGTTCTTTGATACCCTCAGCAAGTTTGAGGTTTGCTGTGCTAAACCTCAATAATTTCTTTCCATTGAATTCATGCAACTAGGAAGTGCAAATATGCCCAGAGAGAAAAGAAAAGCTCTCCTTCCAGAGCCAGAAGTTTTGTTTTTGGAGCCATGCATATCACCAGAAAGGCACGTGCCTAAGCCCTGCCAGGAGCCCTGGACCCAGGGCCATAAGTCATGAGATCAAACACTCTCCTGTCAACTCCTAGCTGTATCTTGGATAGGTCTTCACTCTCTGAGCTTTGGTTTCCACACCTATAAAAGTGGGATAATTGGGTTTTTGAGACAATGAATGTGAACATGCTTATAATTCTGAAGTGCAGGTTAAGCATCTCTGATCTGAAAATCCAAAATGCTCTGATGAACATTTTTTTTTTTTTGAGCATAATGTTGGTGTTCAAAAGTTTTATATTTTAGAGTATTTTGGATTTTCAGGTTAGAGATGCTGAACGAATACATATATAATGCCGATATTCCCAAATCTAAAAAAGTCCAAAATCTGAAACACTTTTGATCCCGAGCATTTTGGACAAGGGATACACAACTTGTACTACATCACTGCGAGGGCCTCTTATTAGCGTGAACCACAGCCGGTGCACAGGACTGTTCAGCCATGAATGGAGGGCTGGGGAGCCCTGCTTGTCCATAAATGGGCTAAGACCCAAGGGTGTCAATTTTACCTTCATCTCAGTGAACAGAAACTGAAATCACTCCTAGAAATACTGTAATCAAAGCTCCAGCCTACTCTGTTAATGGACCTCTGATGTCCAATATGTTTACAAAGGTGATTTTTATGTTCTACTGAAGGCTTGGGGCATCTCTGGTACCTAGTCCCACCTCTGCCATTAACTCTGTGTCACTTTACCTCCTTGGGCCTCAGTTTCTTCAACTCTAACATGAGGAGAGAGGATCCCAGCATGTGATGGGTGCCTGACCTTAATTATCCTGACCTTAATTCGTGCAGAGACGCTGTGGCATGTATGATTTGAGAACCGTCCACTTTATCTTTGGGATGCATTGAATTGTTTGGGAGAAGAGGAGGGAGTAGAGGTTCCAGATTTTCTTTTGTAACTTTTTTCTTTTAAATGGTATTTTGAAAAACAAATTCCCTGATTACCTACTCATGACTGGTTTGTGTGATGGCATCGTGGTGGAGGCGGCACACCCGTGGGAGCTGAGAAGCTGGTTGGGAGAGCCACAAAGGGAGAGAGCCAGGTGGAGGGGAAAACCTGGTCTGGGATGAGTGGCCACACAGATGCTTGCATGCCAGCCACCGAGCTATGACTGGACTTTGGTCTAAACATAAGAGAAAAACACACCTCCTGGATTTATACCCAGGACTTCTCTTCCCAAGGTTTAGCCAGTGATTCTCAAACCTTAATGTGCATAAGCAGCCCCTGGAGAGCTTGTTAAAATGCAGATTTTCAGGCTCTGTCCTCGGATGTTCTAATTCAGAAGGTCTGGGGAGGACCCAGGAACCTGCATAGTTACAACAGCTGGTGTTGGCCCAGACCATTTTTCGAGTAGAAGTACTAGATTCTGTAGCATCCCAGGAAAGGCTGACAAGTGACACAGGCAGGTGAATCCCACTGTAAACATGGTCAAGTCTCATCTCCTCCCTGGTCCCAGGTTTTCTCGCAAATTTAGAATTTGGATGAGAGGGATGCTACAGCCTCTTTGGGCTTCATCTCCTAGGTGTGTGCAGTCAAATCTCCCAGCCTGCCCGGCTGCTCTCCCCAGCCCAAGGTTTAAACAAATTGCCAAAAGAGCAAGGCCTGAAGCAGTCTGTCTTACCTTGAGCACCTGGAAATCTAGTGGAAATTCCTCGTCTTCTGCTTCCACATTTGGTAGCATGCCAGTGACTGTGAAAGACACGACAACGTTGGTGCCTTCGGTGTGCTCTTGCACGGAGAAGGGGTACTGAGCATCACTCTGAGGTCCTCCTGCATGAGAGAGAGCTGTTACCAGCACTGGGCTCCACTCCTGGGACTCCCAGCTGGGGCCATGTCCAGTTCAGAGGGCCCTGTGAGGTTGTGCTGTGAGCTCTGGATTGGAGACCTAAGGCCTGGGTCCCGACCCCCGTGTTTACTAGTTACAGTACAAGTTTCTTTACTTTCTAAGCTCCAGTCTCTTCTTAAAAATAGGGAGGGGAAGCACAGTCCCCACTGGACGAAAACGTTTCTTAAACTGTGAAGCCAAGGGCTATTTTTTTAACAGGAAGTGAAATTCCAGAGTCCCCAGGCACATGTGAGTTCATGCATAGGCAGTAACCATCAGAGCCTTGAAATGACATCAACCACCCAAGCATCACTGGAGACAGGAAAATGGGCAGAGAGATGGCAATTCATGGTACTCTTCTACCCAAGCATGCTTGTCAAAGCCAGAACGAGAGAGAGCGAGCTGATGGGAGAACTGCCAGATTCAAATTCATGAAAGGATGGAGATGAGTCAAGCTAGAGATGAACTGATCCACCTCAGAAAGTTTGGGTTGCAACCAGGAAGCTCTGAAGGGGAGTGGGGAGATGTAGAGGCCCAGCATGTCATAGGCTTTCTGTAAGGGCTGAATAAGACGGTGCGTTAAAATGCACCTAGCGGCATAGCAGGTGCTCACTCGCTGGTTCCCTTCCCTCTCTCCCTTGTGGGGTATTATTAAAAATGGTCCCGATGTATAGTTTTGGTTAGTTCATTGACATGCATCATATCCAGGGAAGAGGGCTTTGGCCCTGTGGTCAGAGGGGTGCAGCTCAGGAAGGTGAACTGGTAAATGTGCTGCCCCGGAGTGACCCGGCAGTTCCTTAGAGTCTGCACGTGGCCTCCTGGGGATGAGGTTCTCTGAGAGGCAGAGTGGGAGATGCACTAGAGCCTGGAGTTGAGAAAGAGGAACACTCTGGGGTACATGGAGTCATCTGAGCAAACCATTCTCGACAGGCAGGTGCCCAGCGGAAGACACACATACCTCTCGGTACAAACACTCACACATGCACACTAACACGCACAAATACATTGTTTACATGGCCTCTTTTATCAAGAATATAAGCACACTTGGATTCATGTTCACAGGGGAATATTTCTCTCATTAGTGTCACAAATAGGGAATGGGTGGTACAGTAGGGGAATGTGACTCTCCCAAGGTCATGGTCAACAAGATTCATCTCAGGAGAACCCAGAAATAGGCTCAGAGGTACTGACTTCTGGAACCTCAGCAGGCTGATCAGGTTACACCATCCAAGACAGGGAAGGAATTATCCACCTTGTGTCTGGTGGTGCTTTGCAGGTTGAAGGGACAGGCAAGGATTGCTGATTCCACTGTTTATAGTTGGGGAGGCTGAGGACAGAGTGACCGGTTATAGTCCCAGAGTCACGAGGTTAATGTGTAGCAGAGATGATGGCTCAATCTGGGCTCTGCCTCCTGCCCAGTGTTCTTTCCATGGCCCTCCCTGCTGTCCTGGACACTTGCTGAAGGGCAGGGAGCGACTCTACTCCAGGAGGTGGAAGTTAGTGGGAGGATGGCGGTACAGAGTGGAGGGCCAGGGGAGGCGTGTTGGAGACTCTCCCACCCACCCCACCAGCAATCATTTCCCTGGAGAAGTAGTAGCTGTCCCTTCAGGCTGATGACCCAGAATCAAGGGCTGGAGAGAGCTGGATCCAGGGCAGGGCTGGGCTGCCAGCTTCCAGCCACGTAGGGTAGTCCCTGGGACATAATTACCTGCAGCGTTTCTCAGGATCACTTGATTCATAAACACCTTTGGGGACCATCTTTCATGGAGCATGTTTCCATGGTCTAGGGTGATTGGAGTTTGGGCACATATAAACAGGCAGGAGAAATTCTCTTGGAAATCTTGGCATGATATCCTGTTAAAGATAGATACATATCACTAAATGATGACTGCTTGTCCCCATGGTGGCGGTTCCCATCACTTCAGTGTGCCTTTACAGTGTTAGCTAAAGAATCCATTGACTTGGCCACTGTCCTACCCAAAGACCAGAGTCTGATTCTGATTCATTCACTGTCAAGCACCCCTCTGTTTTTTCCGTCCCTCTCCTCTAGTTGTTGGGAGGGCAAGAACAGAGTCAAGTTCTGCACGTCACCTGGTAGGAGCTTTATCATTAACCCCCGTCTCCTTATTGAGCCAGCTGTGAGCCTTTTCATGGCCAGTGGGATGACTGCTGGTCTGTCTCTGCCATGGGTCCTCCACACTGCTAGAAAAATCGCCTTTCCCCAGGGCCCTTTGCCAAGTTCATTGTTGAGGTCTTTAGCAGAATAAAATGGGTTCCACACCCAAACCCCTGCCTCCTTCTGTGATTAAAGTGGAGATAGTGGGACTAGTTTCCTCCTAATTTACATTTGTCCCCCTGATTTTTAATTACTTAGACCCAGGCTCCTCTCCACACATGCTAAATTTCATTTAAATGTGTCACTCAGCAAACCAGACAGCCCTCTGAGAAATGCCCGTCTCATCCTCTAAGATGTGAGCATACACTGAGAACATGTTTTCAAAACATCTAGTCCTGCATGACTTCTGGATGATGACACCAGCGTCTCACTCAGAACTGCAGAGTCAGAGCTGGGCGACGAGTGTCCTGTTGCTCTTTGGAGACTGGGGAGCTCCCAGTCCCAACAATGTGGCACAGAAGATACAGGCATGACAAGCGTGCATCCTGGTTTCCAGGAACCTGTTGATTTCAAACCACGGGTGCCAATGTTCCCTCTTGCCATTCAAATGTCCTGGAAAGTCCAATATTTCAAAACTGAAATGCCTTTCCCACGAAGAGGGAGTGCACAATAACTCCCCACCTCAAGTTTTTCTGTCTTCGTAGAGAAAATAGACTCCCTCTAAACAGGTCTCTGCAAAGCTAATTCCCATCCTCATAAGAGTTTAGGGAAAGGGGTAGGGATTGAGGCCTTGGCCAATAATAGTTAAAGATCTAAAACATCATTTTAAAAGATGCATAAATACCAAAACTCGCCATCTTCCTTGTTTTCATACAGCTGGCTTTTCCGTGGGTCACTGGTTTCCTGCCACTTCCGAGACCTGAGCGTGGAGACATGAACCAGAGGGTGAGATTTCCCAGAGCATTTTATCAACTGTGTGTGTGGCCCGACAGGGGCCCTTTGCATAGGCTGCCGGTAGTTCCTGGGGAGCAAGTGGAGAGTGCCATTCTACCTGGGGACAGGATTCAGTCACCCTCTATCCGCTGATGGCATCCAAATACCTGTTCCCTCCCGACCCTCTTTCCTGAGCTCTCAATGGAGCTGTGCTTCAGTGTCCTGCTCATCTCCACTGCAGTCCCCACAGTGATCACAAATCCCCTTGTCCCAGGCCCTGCCCTCCTCCTATTGCATGGGCGAGAACATGAGGAGTCTCGCTCTTGCCACCCCCATCCAGTCACCAAATATTCTTCATTTATTGATTCCACCGCCCCCCCCCGCAACCCCTTGTCAGAGCCACCCATGTATTTCTTCCCCTACTGCCGTTATCCTAGCTCAGGCCACCCTCACCTCCCCCTGGGACTTCTAACTTTTCCATCCATTGGCTACACTGCCATCCAAGTGATCTTCCAAAATACAAGCTCGATGACGTTATTTCTCTGCTTAAAGCACATCAGTGCTTCCCTAGTACTCTCAAAGTGAAGCTCAAACTCCTTAAAGAGAACCTTGGCCTCTGCCTACCTCTCCAGCTTTGCCAGTTCCCTCCTTTCCCACCCCACCCTCACCCTTGACTTCTATACTCTAGCAATAACGAGTGTCTTCATTTCTTCGAAAATACCTGTCTCCTCCACCCACCACCTTGGCTTTCACCCTTTGCTCTGTCCACCTGGAACACTCTCCCTGTGTTCAGTTCTTTAACCCGCTAACTCTTACACGTCTTCCCCCGGAAAGCCTTGCTCAGTCCCTGCAGCCCACCTACTCCACGTCCTTGGAGCTCCCGTGGCCCTGGTCCCACTGCCGTCTCAGCAGCCGGTGTCACCCATGCTTATGTATTGGTTGCTGTCTCTCCCTGGAGTCCAAGTGCCAGCATGTCATCACAGGCGTGTCACCTACACCTTGGCACGTAGTCAGCACACAATGATTTCTCACTTGCTTATTTATTATTAGTGCTGTCTACTTCCTTGGAATGATGTTCCAGAAGGCAGACCTAGGGTCTGTGGTGCAGAGGAGACCCTCACAGGCAGAAGGGAGCCCCTCCTTTGGCCCACTCTTCACTGTGGAGCCATGCTCCTAGGTGGCGGGCCCAGCGGCACTAGAGTTTAATGAGATCTTCTCATGGAGGGGCTTGCAGGGGGAGCCCAGGTCACCTCCGTGCCGCAAGGCAGGGACAGCAAGGCAGCGACCACCACTCAGGCTTCTGGCTGCAGGCTGAGGCAGTCAGATGTGTTATTGTAAAATGGCAATTTTATAATTAAGCGATAATTACATTTTCTGCAGTGTGTAAGGGAAAATAAATGTAGTGTAAATCAATATGCTATCGATTCATGCAAGTTTGCTTTTAAGTGTGTGCGACTGAAATTTCAATTATGGTGGAGATTAGACCGTCTGGCTCTCTCCATCCATCTCCATTTCTGAAAAGTCGGGAAGAAATCGACCACCTGCATGGAGACAGTGATTATGCTGTCCCCATCGCTTCCTTCCAGCCTGGTTTCTGGGAAGTAGGTGACCCTCAGCACGCAGCAAGGTGCACGATCCTATAGAGCAGGTGCTGCTAGAGCCATCTCCCCGGCCTGTGCGCTGCACACCTGCCTCCCCTGCTCCGAAGCCCTCGTTCACACCCATGCCTGCAGGGGAGACATCCAGACTGCTAAGCCGGCCTTGGGCTCTCCAGCGCCAGCTCCCAGACTCTCTCCTCGCTCCCTCTGCCCAAGGTGGGCTTCTTGTCCCCGAGTAGACTATGCTCCTGGCTCAGCACCATGGTCTACGCTTTCCCTCCCACCTAGTCATCTCCTCCGGAGTGAGTCACACTCCCTCCCCAACAAGGCCAGCTCAAGTTCACCCTCATCTGTCAAGCCTCCCCTGAACACGCCGGGGCAGGGGAAGCGTATCTTCCCTGAGCTCTGGTGTCCCTTGTTGCCTTCACTGACCATTTGATATCTGCATGAGGGACGTGGGCAAAGCTTGCCCACCCAGGGAACCCATCACTGCTGTTTGCTTTCCTTCTACTCCTAGCCCCAGCAGGGATTCTGGCTCATCGTGTCACCCTCTGGGCCACGTTGAACAGCTTGGAGGAATGACTGGGAAGGAAAACTGGAAAAGGCCAGAGGTCACTAGGATTTATACTGGACAGTGTGAAGGATGCCCCTGGGGAGAAGGAAAGAATAGAGGCAAGAGAGCAGGGGAAAGGGGGGCGGTGAGTGAAGACGTTGTCCAGGCTGGGCTGGTTCATGGTTTTGCGAGGTCATTCCCTTCCTGGGGTGGGGGGCGCAATTCAGCCGCCCTGTTCTCCAGGGGGCATCGGATGTCACAGCCAGGTTTATTCTACAAATTCATTTTGCTGTTTCCACCTTTCCTCCTCCATCCTCCACTTTCCCACCCCACCGCCCCAATCGTGCATGCACCCCACGTTTGCAGAGTGCCTCGTGGGCCAGGCTCACAGAGGATCAGAGTGGTCCTGACACTGCCTCATCCAGGGCATGGGACCGGGGTCTGGGTGGCCTGGAACACAGGCTGAGCCCGCGTCTGCCTTCCAGAATGCACCGTCCTTGCTGCACTGATCTTCACTGTGCGCTGGGCTATTCTCCTGTTTGTCTGAATGTGCCGCATTTCCTTTCAGCTCATGTCTCCCGCCCCAACCCCTGCTGGCAACCGCTGTGGCCGCTGTGTCTCAACACTTTTCTTGACGCTACACAGACCCTCGGAGGAATCTGATGGGAGCGGCCTTACTGGCTGCCCAGAGGAGCAAGTAACCTATTGTGGTCCCTCTATCATCTCAGGACCTCCATCTCATTCTCCATCAGCAAGCGGGTGGGGGCCAAGGTCAGTCCCTCTGGCCGCCGGGAAATAGCAGCCCAGCTCCCTCGGGAAAGCACTGACCACACAGCAGGACCCCACAGGACATACATGTCAGGGGCATCTGAGACCCACTTAGGCCACTTGCGCCTGGGCAGGGCAGGTGCAGCTGTATCACTTATACTCCAGACACTGGGTCCATGCAGAAGCCCAGATCAGTAGGGCAAAGCTGATGATCTGAGTAGATTCAGTAAAAAGATCATCTGTATCTTTGCCTCAGTTTCCCCAGTTGCCCCAAGAAGGCTTTTCCATCCTGATGACATGGCATGCCCAGGATCAGGTCCCATGGGTCCTTCCAAGGAGTGTAGTTTCTTCTCTCTCTCTCTCATCTCTCTCTTGACAAGCGGGGGCTTGGCTCCTGCCCTGCCTCTCACCCCTTTTACGAATTCTGGGCATGCGGGCTCCTAGCTCTAGACCGTAACCTTCTGCAGAACAGACAGTGGGTCTTGTCATCTCTATATACCCCATAGCACCCACCCAACACAGTGCACTTAGTACAGAGCGTACACAGTAGGTATCTAATAGATGCCTGGCACATGGCATCACAGGAGCGTGAGGTAAACTGAGAGCCATATGTAGGTGTGATCTGGACAGGCCTGCAGTGAGACCCTTGGTGGGTGAGGGCCTCATGAGCTCTCCATGAAGGATGGAGAGAAGTTTCCAGAAGCCATACCCATCACTCCAGCGCCCTCTCCATTCGGTTTTGCCCCAGGGGTTCCACAGGCAGATAATTTCCTCCTGGCCCCTTCTGTACTGAATCTGTAAAGAAAAGAAAAGGAAACCGTCAGTGCTCTCCAGCAAAAGTCAGCAGAAAGAGGGAATATGAATGAAGCTGCTTTTTACCTCCAAGGACTAATTTAACTTCTGACCTCATTTGGCTGCAGCCAGAAAAAAAATTGAAAGGAAAAAAAATCAATGTGTCTCTGCTGCCTGCATGCAGTTGGAATGAGACAGGGGAGAAAACAGCCCTCTCTCTGCTCAGCGCCTTGCAAGGGCAGGGGCAACTCTATCATTCCCAGGGACTGCGTCCCACAGCCCGGGCGAGCTGAGATTCAACAGCAGATAAATAGCAGGGGATGTTGCTCCAGGCTACAGAGGAGAGTCTTTATGGGTCCCCAGCCTCCCCCAAGCCCTGTCACCAGCGGCATCTCTATTCCACAGACACACCTGCTTCCCAGCCAGCAGCCGGGCGGGAGCTGACAACCCTGTCGTGAGTGAGGAGGGAAGGGGAGGCTGATTGGAGCAAGACCGGGACAGCCTGGGGCCAAGATAGCCAAGGCTCACCCTGCATCCCGGTGCTGACCCGGCACCTCTGTCTACGAGCAGATGGCCCATCACGGCCTCAACCAACCTTCCTTTCCTTCTTTCCTTCCTTCTTTTGCTCCCTCCCATTCTCCTTCCCTCTTTCCTTCCTTCCTCCCTCCTTCCCTCCCTTCCTGGCCAGCATCTTTGCTCCCTCAGACCACTTAACCAGAGGGCAGGACAGTGGGAAAGTCACAACCCCGCAGCAGCAAACCCTTGAACCTACATTCCTGGGAGCGAGGAGCCCTCAGCCTGGTGAGAGGACTTAGGATAAGATTGAGTTGTGGCTGTGATATTGATCTGTGCTGATGTTGTCTGAGGAGGCAGGGGCCCAGGGGGTGGGGGAAGGGGTGCACTTGTTCAATGATCCTCGGCCAGAGGAGACAGAGAAAACTTGGGATAAAATAGAACGTGGCCGTGCGGCAGAGGACCCAGCGTGGAGGCAGGCTCAGAGCTGGGCGCCACCTACCATGCTTTCCGTCCTCCAGTTCACTCACGTGGATGTTGATATAGTCCCTGTCTTGCAAAGGAGGAAACTGAGCACCAGAGAGGTTGAGCAACTTTCCAAGGCCACAGAGTAAGTGGCAGAGGCAGAATTCCAGTGCCAGCCACTGTCAGTCTCCAAAGCCCAGGCTCGTAATTTTGGAATTGGGGGTGGATAAAGGCCCATTCTTGGATGTGGCTGTGACCTTGGCCTTGAATATAACCCTTGAGCCACCTGGCCTAGGCCCTTGATCACCAACAGGGCATTGCCACGAAGGAGCGACACAGTCACACGGGACCCGAGAAGTGGGCTCGGATAAGGTTCTTTCCCGTTGCTTTCCTTGTCTGCTCCTCTCTCTGGCCGGCACGCAGTGGACGGGGCTCAGGCTTTCGATGCCCCCTCTGGGGTCGGGGGTCCTGGCACAAGCCCAGGTTCTCATCCCCTCTGCCCCACCCCCAGACCCTCCAGGCCTTGCCCACAGTTTATTGTCAACTGCCAGCACCTGACAGAGCCCCTGGAGCGGGACATGAGAAATGGTCGCCTGGTGGCCAAAAGAGCTTAATGAGCCACCCTCGGTGCCTCGCGGGTAGTCAGGGGCTCCGCTGGGCATGGGGGATGAAAGCAGCCAGCGATTCAAAGGGGCTGAGAACAGGGCTAAATGAGGCATGCAGATAAACACTCACCCCTGTGCCCAGGGGAGTCACCGACTGAACTAGGTGCATAATAAAAAATGCCAATTTCATTTATCTTCCTGTCTGTGTCTTGCCTAAAGGGACGATGAGCAGATTAAAAAGATACTGCATTTATGGGCTGGTTTAATCTTAGCACTTGCAGTTCAGAGTTATAACCTCCTCCAGAGTTATAACCTCTGGAGGGAGAATCTTGGTCCCTCGTACCCTTCTGTGTGACAGGGACCTACTGGTGATGGCATGGGCCTTGGCCAGGAGGCATGGGGGCACGTTCGAGGCCAAGGTGGTGGCTGCCTGCAAGAGTGGGCTGGCCCATGTGTGTCACTCCCTGGCTGCTGGCCAGCTCCCTCAGGAGGGGGCCACTGGGCCCCGACTGTCTACCCTAGAATAGTATTTCCTCAGATGTGTTCTCCTGAATGCTCGTTCCACTGGCCAGTAATAGTTATTCCTAGACAAAATGGTTTCATGGCTAATAGCAGACAAAAACCAAGCACTACTTGTTTTGTTAATACAGGGCTTCTTGGACCCTTTAAAACGCTAGTGTACACCGTGGAGCTCCAAGACGGATATGGTGAGCGGCAGTTTCCAAATACATTTGGAAACCTGTTTTCACAGAGGCTCTTGCCAGGCCACTGCTCCTGGGAGCACACTCTGGGAAGTGTCAGCTGCACGGAGTGCAGAGCGGGGCTGGACCACACAGGACACACGGCCTTGATCACGTGTCATCGCCAGTGGGGGGTCGTGCTCAGCGCCAATGTAGGCTGTGGGGGCACAAGCGTGCGGGATGTGCGGGGCCCTCAGCTGCTCACACTGCAGCCCCCAGCTTCACCTGCATCGCTCCAGGTGTAACACAGCTGCCTTATGATCCAGCCTCTGTGGGGACTCGTGCTAAATGGCCACCAGGACCTCTGGGCACACAAATCCCTTCTGTCCTATGTTCAGAGGTGAAACAAGGGCTGTCTCAATGTTTAAAAAGGGTCTTGTCCAAGAATGGCGAATACATACCATGGATACCGTGGCCCCCTCATTCCATGCCCCAGCCAGATGTCACTCATTGATCACAGCCCTCTTTCGCCAGTGTGGAAACAGTATCACGATGGCATTGGCTGTCCCCACTTGTGAGGGTGGGCAGAGGGGCTGGTGTGAAGTTCAGAGGAAGGGGGTCTGGCACTGCCATGACTGGGATCTCTTCCAGCCTGGGCATATCAGGGGAAGCCCTTCATGCTGTGGGCCATGTCTTTGGAGCTCCTCACACTTATGCTATGATGGAGCGTCAGTAATGTCGCCTTCCTGGCCAAGGGCCAAGGCACTCATTCACTCAGGCATCAGCACTGATCCAGCAAGCATGTATTAGGGAGACAGCAGGCACCTAACGCAAAGGAAGCATTTTGTTGCTGATTTACTTTAGGGAGACAGGGAGGGGACAGGAGAGATATTGTCCTCATTTGGTGCCTGGGACACTCACGAAAACATGCAATAATGTTACATCTGGCCTGGGGCCAGTGGACAGGAGGGCCAGGTTGCTAGAGAGAGGCAGGGCGGGTGTAACATAGCTACACGTGGAACCCAACACTCTGTGTTCCGTGGTCTGTAAGGACCTGTGATCAGTGTGCCCTGGAGTTGGGAGCTCTGTCTCTTAGGGCCTAGAGGCCGTTATTAGATTCCAAGAGTTGTGGGAAATACAGAGACAGGGGGACATGTGCAGGAAACCGTGACAAGGCCAGGAAGCGCTGTCACCGCATGGCTGCCTGACACGCACAGACGGACACTGAGGAGACGTGTCCGGGCCAGTGTGTCACAGGCAACTATCTGTGTAACCTTGTGAAAGGCCTCAGCTTCCTCCTTCATAAGCAGAGGAGTCTGGACTTTGGTTGTGGTTTCCAGCCCAGCTTACACTGCACACGGTAATTACATACATTTTTGTCCCCCAAGGTCAGTTCTTCCACCAAGGGAAGGTCTGTCCTCCAATGCCACGCTCCCCCTTCCATGAGAAGGAAGTTCCATCCAGGCACATGGTGGCCCAGCCAGACAGCCCATTTCCCAGCCTCCCCTGGGCCTCGGTGTGGCCCTGTGATTAAGTTCATGCTAACGGGATGTGCGCGAGAGGAAATGACACACGCCTTTTCCAATTCTCGCTTCCTATCTGCGTGTGTGAGTGTACCCTGGCCTCTGTCTCTCCCTCTGGCTGGGAGCTGAGCGAACTTGGAGCAGCTGTCTTGGGCTCACAGGTGGAGGCCCCATGCTGGGGATGGCAGAGCCACCTACCAGCCTCGCACCACCTGCTCACCTGGGAGAGAAATGAGCTTCATCTTGTTTAGGTCCCTGTGTTTTGGAGTGTCTTCATTACAGCAGCTTAGCTGGTATGTAAAAAATAAAACCCCTTTCCAGACAAAACATTCCCCCTACTTTTAGAGCTAGTCCCTTCGTCTGCTTAGGGACGTAGATCTGCCTGAGATCAGCACAGGGACAGCAAGACCTCTGGTGGGTTCCTGGTGGGGAGAAAATACTGGGTGCCAGAACTTCTGGATGAACAGAACAAATTGCGGCTGTCCCTGGTGGGCGCCACCGTGGGGGCGAGGGTTGTAAATACTCATTTTGGCTTTGTTGGGCTTGTTGGAGGCACCCAGTTCTGGCTCCTGCTTAGAGGAGCAAGAATGCTCATTGCTGGGGAGAGGCCAGGGGAGAGCTGGCCAGGACGGGGCAGCCTCACCTGTTCGGCCCGGGTCACGGTGTAGGCATGCTGACTCACCAGCCCGTTCGCCATCACCTCCTCCTCGACTGTGGGCTTCAAACAGACAAGCAAAGCAAGCATTAGACATCCACAGCTTCTTCTAAGAGACAGACACACACAGCTCAACACCGACTCGCTTGGGGATGGTGAGGACCTGGAGCTCTTTTCCAGAGAGGAGTGGGAGGGTCACTGCGTGGGTGAGGCTCCGGGGATTTCATGCCTCAGGGGACCACCCCCATGACAGAGCCCAGCAGACTCCCGAGGACCTGCTGCTCACTCTGTCAACCACTTGTCCTCAGTGAGACGCAAACATGCCCACTGGGTCGTTTGCAGCGATCAGGAGTGCCCAACCCCTGCGCGGCAAGTATGTGGGGATTAAAGTGCATCTGGGGTTTCTGGTGGCACTTTGGATCAGGGATGTGGCTGCAAAACCCACGTGTTTCAAGGAAGCACCCCCATGGATAGGGAGCCTGATTCAAAGAATAGACTCGAATAATTGGGAGGGTCATCCAAGCTTTCAAAACGGACAGCTGCCCTTGGGGTGTGCCTTTAGAGTCAGGGAGAATTGGAGGGCCCCCAGGGCTCCCTGTAAACTGAAGGCAAAATCATGGAGGGGAAAGCCCCCCATCGCTGTGGGCCCTATGGCTCCTGGTCGCCAAGGTGCAATGGGTCGGGGCTTTGGCATCAGCACCAGTGGAGGCCCTGCCCAGCCACTTACTGGCTGTGTGACAGTGAGCACTTCGCATAGCCTCTCTGAGCCTGGTTTCTCTTCTATGAAGTGAATTCTGCCGTCCCTGTCCCTGGGGGAGGCTGTTGCAGGGTTAATGAGGTGCCTCAGTAAAGCGTGCCGTCGGTGTTCCAGAGCGGTCGCCCGCCATTTCCCTCCCCAGTGGAATGGGCCCCTGGCTGAGTGCAGAACATGTAAACCAGTACAAAGGGCCTCCTCATCTACTTACCCGCTTTGGGGTGGAACAGGTCATCAGGGAGCCTTCCGTGGCTGCTGTCTTCACCACCGTCAGCAGGTGGGAAGGGGAGGAGCGCAGGTTGATCTTGCTGACCACACCTCCTGTGAGGTCCACCAGGGCGTCCGGGAGGTAGCCTTGGTGCAGGTGGGAATAGGATCCGAGCAGCCTGGGAGGGTGAAGCCGGATTAGCCCTTGGAGTGCCTTTGGTGAGACACTCAGGAAGGGAGGCTGTACACTGACCTCGCACATTTCCCAGGTGAGGGACTGCCTGGTCCACTCTGGACCATGGCCACCAGCCTCCCATTGGCCTAGATGGAGATTCCAGCGATATCCACCCATCCAGGGACTTGTACTGTCCTCTCCACCTTCCTCCCCTGGTGCCCGGGGCCTGGACAGCCCCACAAGTGGCAGCATTGTGAAGAGGTTGGGAGTGCAGGTGCTGAAGCCACAGACCAGGGGTCTAATCCCAATTTCATCCCAAGTTTAGCTGCTTGACCTTGGACATGTGACCTGCTCTCACCGAGTTGTGCTCAGTGTGGAGCCTGGCACATGGCCAGCCCTTAGTGAATCCTTGATGTTGTTATGATGAGTATCTACTGCTTCCTGTTCCATTTAGCAACAGCATGAAGTACTTACTGACTGTGGGCCAGAGACAATGCCTGGTGTATGTTCAAAGACGAGCAAGACCCCATTCTTGCCCTCAAAGACCCTGTGTCACAACCCTGTGGCCACAGGCAGCCTCTGTTCTCACTCTGTGCAAACCTTGATCCAGAAGTCCCATCCCCAGAGTCACCCACTTACCCCCAAATCATAAGTTGACTTTACTGAAGGTAATATAGGTAAGGATAAGTCTTACGTAACACACCCCAAAAAGCCAACCACTTCAAACCCTCATGCCTATTCTCCAAAGCACTTCTTCCTGCCCTCCCACCTTCCCGTGGGGTTTCTCCTTCTGGGGAGACAGGCAGGGCAAGACCAGGAGGCCCTGTGCTCCCTGGGAGAGAGGGTGGCTTGATCAGCCACAATGGAACCACTGACGCAGGGGCCCGACAGTCAGGTTTGCTTGGAGAACTCAAGTTCCTGTCAGTGGGGTGCACGGGGAGGGTTCCCACGGATTCCTAAAACACAGGCAGGATAAGCCCACAAAGGACGTGGAGCTGAGGCCAGGTCTGGCAGGACCCTGGGGCTGCCTCCTGGCATCAAAGCTGCCCCGCGGGGGCCACGCTCCCTACTGCCTCTGCCAGGAGGGCTTCTCACCAGGGACCTACATTCCTGTCCCGGGCTGGCAGGCGGAGGCAGAGCCCTTCACTGGGCCATGGGCGGCGGGGAAGCCCCTCCTGTGGCTTTGGTTCCTGTGATGCAAAGTCACACAGGCGCAGGTCCTGGGTCCTCCCGCTGCTCCCTCTAATGGGGTCTTCAATCTTGGACAAGACCCCTCCCCTCCCTGACCTTGGCCTTTCATCTGAAACAGCAGGTCAATTGGATCAGCTCTAGAAGCCCTTCAGATACTCCTCTCTCCCCTCTTCCACCTCCGTCATTCTCTCCTCCCGGAGATCACCCAGAATTCCAGAACATTCACTGCAGCAAGTACATAGCAAGCAGCCACTGTAAGCGGGACACTGTCCCAGGCATGAAGGAACTGCTTAGAAAGGGTTTTATTAAAGAAAGCTAAGGATACGTCCAACAAAGGGACGATTCTACAGGAATTACCGTGTGACAGATTTGTCTCCACTTGTTTTAACACTGGTTCTGATCTTATCGCCCTGCTCCCTTGCTCTGACCCAGGTTATGACGGGTGCTGGACTCTGTTGGTGTCCCACTTGTATTCCGGCTCCTGTTTCTAAATGCAGAGGGCTTTGCTGAGATGCTGGAAGTGCACGAGGACGGGTTCGAGGACATTCTCCCCCAGTGCCACCGCCTGCCCACTACAACAGCCCCTGTCTGGGGATACACTCAGGTGTCCTCCCCGGCTTCAAACAGGTCTGTGCCAAAGCCACTCCAGAACAGCAGCAATGGGGACAGTCCCCTCCCCTCACTCACGGCCACAAGGCCACTGTCTCAGTGTCTGTGGGCCTCGTCTGCTGTCTGGCACCCACAGCACTCTGCAGTCACCACAGAGACACCCGGCCCAGTGGGAAGGACTCCCTCAACTCGCGGCCAGCAGTCCCTGTTGGGTGTCTTCCGGAGCCTTCTCTCACTGTCTGCGATGCCCACAAAGCCTGTCCCAGCAGCAGCTGGGTGTTTTGACAGGGAGCTCTCTTTCTGCTTTGCAAACACGAGCTCACGGATCCTGCTGATGCTTCAGGAACGCGGCAACTATTCTTAGCCCCCTGTGCTAACAGGAAATAGAAAGGAAGGAAAGAAAGAACTGTGTTCACCACAGCTGTCACTATTCCTTGTCACCTGAACCAGGAATTCTGAGAGAGCCTGTCCTCATCCCTCTGCTTCAGCCTCATTTGGGGGAAATGTCTCTCTGCTCGGCAATGAGACGAAAGAGGGAAGGATTCTGATGTCCAATCAATGCCAGAAAGGATGCTGCGAAGCCGCAGAGATCCCATAAAGGATGGCCTGCAGCCTGCAGATCTTGTCCCTCAGTCTCCTCTCTATTTCACGACCTCTGGGGAAAACAAAATCTCGAACATGGTTTTCTTTTCTCCACATTCGACTGACTTGACCAATTCATTTTCAGACTCCCCAGCCACGAGGGTAAGGGAACGTGCACTCGTCTGCAGTCTGCACCCTTGGGGGAAAGAGGACCTGTCTGTGTGGACAGCCCCTCGTGCCAGCACTGAGCTCCAAAGGAAGCAAAGACAAGTCCTTTTCCCGCGGTGCTGACAGCGCCGATGGAGGTGGGAAAGCACGTGACCTGGGAGAAGAGGGCTCGCCCCCTCCTGGCCTCAAACACGGGGTGATCTTGGGCAAGTCATTTCACCTCTCTGAGCCTCAGTTTCCTCATCTTTCCAGGAAAAAGGTAGGGTGCAGTGCTGACAGAGGTCCCTCTCAGATCTAAAATGCTATAATTCTATTTCATTCACTCCTGCGTTCTAGAACTTCCTTCCTTAGATGGGGAGGGCGGTTTAAATAGGTTTAATAGTTTGAAACATTTTATCCTCTGCTAGATTTCTCCAGGGGGTGCAATGTGGATTCTGGGTCCACTTTCCCATTTCTGTTCTAGCTGAATGATTGCTGCAGGTCATCTGTTAACAAAATGGGGTCAAAGTCATCATTTCATCCTGCAAGATTTCTAATTCCCCCAGCGAGCCACCACGCTACCCCCTTTTACGCAAGGAAAACATGAGGCCCTGGAGTGATGAGGGCTGAATTTATACCGGGAAGATAACAGCAGTGTTTGTGTAAGTAGCTTAGAAGTGAATTAACCTCCCAAGCACGTGGATTGGCTCAACAACCTTGGCTCTTATCTGGGCTTCATTCTTAAATGCTAATGAACAGCTCTTCCTGACACTGGAAATAAGCAAAAAATGTGAGTTTTTCATGAGTTGCCTCAAAAGACAGAATGCACAGAAAGAGGTCTTGAGGCATCTTGGAGACTTCCAGAAGGACGGGGTCTGGCCAGACTGTGGTGCTCTTACTACCTCTGGGAGCCCAGGACCGGACTCAGCAAGGGCTGATTACAGAACGTTGGAGCATCTTGCTAAATGATGTCTCCAGTCAGGTGACTAAAGATCCAGGCTAACCATTCACACCTGCCATCCCATCACTACCTGGAGACTCAGCTTCCCCACGTGTGAGATGGGGCCTGCGTAGGATGGTCTCTGGAGCCTTCTGCCTCTGTGACTCTTAACTCATCTTTCCCTCTCGAGTGTGGCCCTCTTCGCTTTCATCTGTTAGTGGCAACTCCAGCTCTGATGTGTCCCCCTCAGTGTATGCCTCACACACAGACATTCTGAGGGTAAGTGTCCCCTCCTCAGCTCCCGCCCACACGGCAACTGCCCTGGCTGCCATCTTTATAGCCACTTGAGCCTGGTCATGGCTGATGGGATCAGGGGAAACCTGACCTGAGCTTGACCGGTCAGACTCTGACCCTCCAGAATTGGAATCCGGTGGGGAACTGGGTGGATAGCAGCACAGGGACACAGACAGAGGCCACGAGGGTGGTTGAAAGAAAGTAGAGTCCTGAGGAAGGCGAAAAGAGGAAGAGGAAAGAGAGGAAAGACCATGACAAGGACAGGCTACCAGGTGGGAGGCAGGGAGCTGGCCGGCCTCAGAGCAGGGCAGATGCAGAGAAGCCCCAAACACGGCAGCCACAAAACCAATACCAGGGCTCTCTGGTCAGAGGCCAGTCCTCATTGGAGCCCCAACTCGTGGACTTCTGTGCGCACTTTCCTCTCCTGTTTCCCTGTGTGCGTCTTTCCGCCTCCCCACAATATCTTCACTTCAGAGCTTCAGAGTGAGGTCCTGCTCGGGGATTTATTTCCCCCCATCTCATGAACTTTCTCTTTCTCCTTTCTTTCCTTCCTTTTCTTCCTTCTTTTTTTCTTTCCTTCCTTTTATCCCCATTCTCCTTCCCCTCCACCCCCAGACAACCATATCAGGACGTCTAACATGCACCTTTTTGTCTGTAGGTGCTCTGGTAAGACGCACGTTGCAGGGCACACGGTTCCCATTTCCGTGACTAGCTATGTGTGACCTTGCTCAGGGTTTCTCGCCCCCTTCGCTCAGCACCCTGCCTCTGGGGGCCACCTGGGCTGCTATGGCAGATGGAATCCGTGGTTCTCAGTGGAGGGCACCTACCCTATCACACATGCCCACTCTGGTGATGGACACCTCATGCCACCCTCACCGCACTGCCAGAAACATCCTCAGATGTGTCCCCTTGGGGCCCCTCTAGGCTGCCTCGGTGCACACTCCCCCCAGTGCTGTTTGGCAATCGCTGGATCCCCACGTCCTGGCAAACGCTTGGCATTATCCGGCTTTCTGATGTTTGCAGTCTGACAGGGGAGAGAGATGTTTTATTTGCATTTTTTTGATTATGGAAAGCTTAAGCATCTCTTTATCATCTGCATGGGTCTTTGTGACAGTGTCCTCTTCCACTGACACACACACACACACACACACACACACACACACATACACACACATCCATAGTCCTGCACATAGCCACTAGAGCCAGTCTGAGAGTGTCTGTCCCAGTGCCAGGCACAATGCCTGGCATATGGTTAAATGCCCAATAAATATCTGTCAAATAACAGCAACCTAAAAAGTCTAAGTAAAACATGTGACTGGGATGTTTGTAAGTCCTTGAGCTTGTCAACACCCAAAGGTAGTCCCTGAGTCACAGTGATTTGACCGTATGGGCATGAGCACGTTCTGCCCGTCCCTACGTGTAAATGCCGTCTCACAGCAGCCACACCAGGCCCCCAACTGCCTGGACCTCAGTTTGAACTGTCTCTCCCCGATGATGCCTCCTCCCACCTACCTCCTCTCCCCCTGCTGAAATTCTGCCCATCCTTTGAGGCCTCACTCAAATGCCCCCTCCTCTATACAGCTTCAGTCTGACTGTGAATCAGAAAGTCAGGATTGTTTATTCTCCTCCACTCTCACATCAGGCTTTGACCTTGGTGTTATATTTCATTTGGATCCATATACCAGCCTTGCAATAATTCCATTGTCAGTGCATGTTTCTGTCTAGCCCCCGCCCTGCCCACCCAACACCGGCTCTGGCACACAGTGACTGTTTACGGAGGATGCCCAGCCAGGTGGCAAAGGCTGTGATGCTCTGAGGGGCGTGGCATGCATTCAGGAGAGCTGCTGAGAGCCCGGGGCCAGCCAGCACAAAGCATCTGTCTGCACGCTGCTGGGAGGGCTGGGCTGAGGGGCGGGCCCCTACTCACTTGGCGTAGGCTTTCTCCAGCAGGCAGGGCCAGAACTCTTGGTTGTCTTTTCGAGGACGCACAAAGAGGCATTCTTTGCCCATGGCAGGCAGGCGGTCGTCAATCACCACTTCCACCCACTGGCCACACTGCCAGAACTGGAAGAGAGCCGAGCATGTGCCTTAACAGCGTTGCGGCAGGAGGGACCCTCCAACCCAAGCCAAAAGCTAACCACAGTGGCAACATGACCTCCACGGTACAACAATGAACTCTCTCCAGAACAAAATCCCAGCCCAGGTTGCTGGGCCAGGGACAGACATGTCCTCTCCACTGGCAGGTGGAGAAAATGAGTCACAGACCAAGTTAGTCAAGGAAAATGCAGGTAGAGAAGAAGGAGACTTGAGTCCTAGCTTGACTTTGCTACTAACTGTGACCTCACTTTGGCAAGTCCTTTGTGAGCTTGAGATACACATGAGACTCTCCAGGTACTTCTCATGCACAGAAGGTGGTAGGGAGCAAATGCTAATGACAAAGGGCTGGCGCAAGGGAGGCAGAGCCACCAGCAGCTGAAGGATTTAAGCAGGTGGCAAGGAGATAGGGAAGCATCCCAGACGGTGGGGACAGTGTGGGCAAAGGCCTGGAGGCGGATGACACGGATGGCTCGGAAGGACCGAGCAGCGACAGACTTGCACTGGCCCTCCCCTCTCCTGTCAAGCTGGCCCTGCCGCTAGAGCAGCAGAAAGGAAACTGGCTGGCACTGCTACTGCTAAGAGCGCAAATGAACCAGATGCTCCTCTCCAAAACAGACTGTTTTAATCTTTAGCATTCAACTCTAAATGGTTCACCCGGGGACATCGCCAAATGAGGAAAATTCATAATAAAGCCAGCCTTTTGGAGTCTCCCCTGTGCAGGAGAAGCAGCAGGGCTTCGGCTTCAGGCCTGAGCCCTGATGAAGGCAAGTGTCCACCAGGTGGGCTCTGCGGAATGCTGGGTGGGTGTGATCTGTCATCCGCATGGCCGTTTCCGCAGCTGGATGCCCAGATGTCAGGCTGTCGCATCCAGCCGAGGGCATGCTTTTAGAGCAGAGGTGGAGACTGGGACAGAGATATCAGCAGAGACAAAGCAAAGAACAGGGTCTCAGAGTCACTAATGAGCCAGCGCACTGTGGCAGGTTCCGCGCAGCTGTGGACTTGTGTTCCTATTACAGTGAGCGAGCAGTCAGAGGCACAGGCAGTGAGGCTGAGGGGCCACGGGGATGTTATTAAGACGGAGAGCATAAAACATGTCTGAACACTGAGTAAAGCAAAATTTAGCTCCCAGAAGGGGGTACTGGAAGGACAATATAGATTTTGTGCTTAATTGGGTAGCAACATACAGTAGACAGTGTCCAGCTGGTAGAACTCTGCTTGAATTCTGGTTTTGCCTCTTGTTACCCAAACAATAGATGTTGAACAAGGCACTTAAATCTCTGTGACTCAGTTTCCTCATCTGTCACGTGGTAGAAAGAGGAAGAACTTCCTCATAGGCTGTGATTGGGATCAGATGAGATTGTGAAAGTGAGATCATAGTTTTGAGAGGAGAGACTATTTTTCAATAGTTGTTTTGTTCAGCACCTAGGATAGCGCCCAGCACTCAGTAGGCCATCAGGAATGAGTGAGTCCTGGTTTGAATGAGCTCTTCTGATTAGTTCATCTTAGAAGTCACCCTCACCCCATCTTCCCGCCACTAATGCTGACCAAACTCACTCTCCCTATACAAAGGGGACATCAGATAAGATTGCCGCTCCCAGAGAGGATGCAAGTGGCCTGACTGGTGGTTAAGAATGAGGCCACCAACCTGTATTTCCTGGTTCACATCTCTGGGTGAGAAAGGCTGGCATTTGGATAATGTCTTTACCCTCTAAGAACCATGCTGGTACCATTTTGCAAAAACTAAAGGATCTAAAAGGGACATCAGAAGTGTTTTGGGCAAAGCGTTGGAGGTGCCCCAGGCACTGGGTGCCTTCCAGAGATCAGTGCCTGAGCTCACGGTGATGAGATCTACAGAAGTCAACGCCACTGCAGCTGCTTCTGAGAAACTGTGTGACTTTCTTTGTTATCCAAAAGGGCAGAGTATGTCCTTCCTGGGTCTCAAGTTGTCCTAACCACCTAATTCCCACCAACACTGGTACCCCTGGGGTGAGCTCAGACATAGGTCAATCCTGGATTCACTAGCTCTATCCTTGATAGGGTCCTTGGGCCAGCAGCAGTAGCATCACCTGGATGCCTGTCAGGAGACATAGTATGCAAATAGTTGCATGTCAGGAGGCAAGAACAAGATAAAGGAGGGGGCCTAAAAATAATGGAGGGGAAACCTAATTGAGCAGAAGGATGTAGCTTTTCAGGTTGAAAAAGATCACTGAATTTCAGGCAAGATTGATTTTTAAAAGGCATACATCTGGATATATTCTAGAGAAATGTCTGAACTCCAAGGTGAAAGTATGCATCTTATAGACTTGCAGTTTAAAAGAACATGTTGCATACAAAGTCAAGAACATAGATTAACATTGAATTTTTCTTCTGCAACACTGGAAGCTACAAGACAACGGGACAATGTTTACAAACTTTTCAGGAAAAGAAATGTGATCCAAGTATCCTATACTAAACTATCATTCTTAAGTGAGAGCAAATAAAAAACTCATGTATTCTGAGAAAATTATTCAAGGAACTACTTCTATCAAATGAAGGTTAAACTACAACAAAAATCTTAAGGAGAAATGAAGGGTAGAAGAAACAGTGGTAAATAATGAGTTATAAATATGCTTTTTATAAGAAATATATACCTATAAAAGTGAAAACAAAATTGATCAAAATTGATCAAAAAGATGAGCAAAGATAAAACAGGGAAATGCAAACAGCAGGATGCTGGATTGGCAATATGACTATCAAATAAAAAGAAATTCAAGGCCAGAAGCATTAAATATAAGACATAGGGATATTATACAAGTTTTATTCCAACAAGAAGATAGAAAGATCATAAACCTTTGGGCACCAAAGGACATACCAGGAGAAGTGTAAAGCCATAACATCTGAAAGCTTAAGAAGAACTCTGCAAACAATAGTAATGGGGGGACTCCAAACCTCTTTTACAATTTGACAAGTTAAGCAAAGAAAAAATAAGTGAAGAATAAAGAAATAATTGCAGATAATACAATCTGCAAATAAGAAACCTTGATTCAGTATGTAAAATTCATGACCACTGGATAATATACATTCTTGCATGTCCACGAACCATTTACAAAAACTGCCATGGACTTGGCCATAAGTAAAACTACTTTAATAATTTCCCCAAATGTAGACATTTTATGAATTATATTCTGACTATAATATTATAGAACTAAAACTTAGCAACAAAAAGACTACTCCTTGTAAAACTTAATCACTTGAAAATTAAATAGGCGTTAAAGAAACAACCCTATAT